GAGACGCCGGTACCCTTCGCGTCCATCTCGCGCGCCGCGGCGGTGCATGGAAATGGGCACCGCGAGGTAATCCGGCGTTCGCGGCGGATGCGCCGCCCCCCGTCTCCCCCCGAGCCTCTCCGGGCGGTAGTGCAACGGTGAAACGGTGCAACGGAGGTTGCCGGTGCATCGGGTGTAGGGGGGGCCGGAGGGCGGCAGGGGGCAAAAGGGGGGAGGCGCCCGCGACCGCGACCGAGGCCGCACCCGCACCCACGCGTACTATTATACGGCACCGGCATGTCAGCAGCCATATTGTACGCGCGTCAAGCTCGGCGCATTGTTTTGCAATATTTCGCGCACTAATTGGCCTGGAAATTGCTATTTCCTGAAATTACAACCCCTCCCCGAGCCCGGCCTACTCTCATTCAACGGACGTAATAGCACTTTGCTCTTCGGCTTTTATTCTTTTTGCGATCCCTACCCTCCCCCTTCTCCCCCTTCCCCCATCGGCCGCTCCCGCTCACCCGGGTACGCACCGCCTACGATATGACAAATTCCCGTACGAGCCGCGCCTGCCGATAACACGGATCGGTCGGTCCTCTTCTCTTCTCATCTCTTCTCTTTCCCCCTCTCGGCGCACGAGGAGAGGTTCCGCCAGGGCGACTCCCTCTCCCTCTCGCGCGCGAGCGCGACTACTCGTCGGAAGGGAAGGATATTGCCTAACGGGCGAAAATGGACGATAAATTTCCTACGAATGTCGTTCGGAACGGGCTGAACGGAGGTGTAAAACGGTGATTTATATACAATGCCAGCTAATTGATTTACTATCACGGCGGGCCGCCGGTAGGTACGGCATTCGTTTCGCGGCCGCCCACCCCGCCCGCCCTAAGCGGCCGCAGCGGTGTCACCGCTGCGTATACGTCAAATCATGGGACCCGAGTGTGCATTGCACGACAGCCCGCGGTGGAGCGTGTACGATTATCTTTTTTTTTTCTACCCCCCAGTGTAAAAGTTTCGCCTTTTTTCTTTTTATCCACATGCCCCTCCGATCCCTCCCCGCCGGTCGCGTACAAAAAAAAAAAACACCCGCCCGACAGAATGTACAGAGTAATATTGTTCCATTCAATTAGCCGCGGTATTACCGAGGCCGAACCGCGTCGAAGTCCGTCCTTTCGCCGCAAGGGATACACGTCGAGTCGATTAGCTCCTAACTCGTTGACATCGACGACTACGTGCGGCCGTGTCTAAACGTATCCCCGTACACGTGGGCGTACGTCCCGAAGGAACGAAAATATTTCACTCCCGTCTTCGGCCCTATACCGCCGAGCCCCGAGTGGCCGGGAATTATGCAACAATATTAGCCTATTCAACAAGTCGCGGCGTTTGTTCTCCTCCCCCTCCCCCCATTCCACCCCCCGTCCGCGCCGGGCAGTCGTCGCGCTCCGGCGGAAATAAAAATACCAACCGGGAGGACGTCGTTGAGAGTAAATTCATCGTTTAATTATAATTAAATTTGTTCAGAGGGACCGGGGTGGGAGGGGGGTGGACGGGGATGTAAATACGTCATTGCGTCGTTGTAAACGAGTTAAAAATCCGGCTGGCGGATGACAATTTAGCCTTCCGAGGAGCCCTCTGCTGGGAAGAAAGCGAGCAAGGAGGCGAGGACGGAGGAAGGAAGGAAGGAAGGAAGGAAGAGAGGAAGGAAGGAGGGGGAGAGACGGGGCGAGGAGCCGTGTCAGCTCCCAAAGGAGCTAGAGATGACATTATTCCTGGTTAACACGACCGTGGAGACTGTCTCGGGTTCGCCGCGTCGCGATTTACAGTCGGGATCAGTGTCTTTTACCGCGGGGGGGTTGGGGGTCGGGGGCGGGGTTGGAAACGGGTGGCTGGTACACCCTAATCCCTGTACCTCTTCCAAAGTCCCCTCTTCGCGAGGCCTCCCTTCCCCTTCTTCTCGACCTCCTCCTTTGGGTCGAGGAAGCGATCGAAGACGCGTTAATCCACGTCGACCAGCCCAATAAAGTCTCATTCGCGCGGTTATTTCCCCTCAGATGCGCCGCGCGATTTACGGGGCGGCTCGGCCCCGTCCCCGGGATACGGCGGCCCTGGGATCGGCCTAATCCCTGTACCTCTTCCCGGTGGATTTGCAAGTCGGGCACGTTGCTTAAACGCGACGCGCGAGAGTGGCTTTAGCTACTCCTCGTCCTTATTCACCGGAGCCTTCTTAGCCCGGCGGGACACCGTGCGTTTTTTTGCCGCACCGGCGAGACCCAGTTTCCCCGCGAGCAGTCCGATCGTACGTTTCTGCACGGCAGAAAGTGGAATAAGGTGGACGCGGCGGGAACGCGCAGGGTGGCCCGCGGTAGGACACGTTCCATTCGAGGACAGACGTGGTTATCATTCCAGTTGTCCTGATCGTCTCCGCTGGTCCTGCGATAATGCATATCGCGACCCCGGCCTTGGTTGCCGCCTCCTACATTGAGTTAAAAGATCAGTCGACGGAGACGAACGATATTTAATCAAAGAGACAAAGGAAAAAATTCACGTTTATCTAAAGGAATTTCGTTTGCTCAATCTGATGTCTCCACGATTTCTATTTGACCGCTGGATTTTCCTGTCGCAATGCCATTTTCTTTCAGCCAACCATTTTATTTTTTTTTCTCAGTGTAGGTCAGGGTCATGGCGTGCGTTCTAGCCGGACCGGAGGAAAGGCATCCGATTTCGTTGCACAGCCCGAAACGCGTCACCCTGTTCGAGCTGAAACGTATGGACCCCATTGAGATTCCTTCGGCTATTTTCCGGTCGTCCGGTTCTTCCGCAGCAGGACGCGTTGAACGCGGATTAACAAGAACGGCGCGATGCGATCCCCTTGAATACAGGCGTTGTCGCCATTCCGGTCCACCGGAATCTCTCTTCGGACCTCGCAGAACACATGGTGCGAAGTCGGTCTTAGGCGCGGCATATTCCGCGCCAACCCTTGACTCGCCTTCCGGCTTCCGGTCGGCGTATCCGTTAAATCGCCCGCTCCATTACGGGTCCGCTTCCCGCCGGCTCGTTAACTCCATTAATCCGTTAATTCGCCGATCGGTAGGTCGATCCGACCCCGTCCGTGCGGAGACACAGGAGCCAAGCGAGTGAGGAACGCCAAACGCGCAGCCTCGAGCGGGCGAGTGGGTGGGTGGGTGGGTGGAGGCAGGTGGGGGTGGGCGGGTGGCGTTACCGGGAACCGCTGTGCCGTCTAGTTTAGGCGGCTCCGAAACTCGGTAATGCAGTTTTCATCGGGAAAGTTGGACGGAGGCGGAAGGAAGCCCTGTCGACAATGGGTGGGTTCGGTTGGCGCGAAACCGGCGCCAGAGGACGGGCCGCAGATGCGTCGCCATTGAAACTCTCTTTTCGCCGTTATCGATCAATTTCTCCCCACCGACCACCCCCTCCCACCCTGGCTTTTCGGTCGCTCCTCGTCCCGGTCTTCCGTTCCGCCTCTCTTTAATACGGGAAACACTAAAGATGGGCCATTGTTTCGCTAAACGAAAGGCTTTGCACCGTCAAAGAGCGCCGCTTCGCCGGCCAAGTAGAAGTCGAAGGAAAAACTCGACGGAGAAATCGGAGCCGATCGGCCGTGCGCGTTATTACGGGCCGTCCTAATAACGGACGGTTGAATTTCCCCCGCGTAGTTTCTTTCTTTCTTCTTCTATTTTTTCCCCCCCCTCTACCCTTTCCGTTTCTTCGGTTCTCCTCTTCCTTCTTTTCTCTCCTCGGGCCGGGCGCTCGCGCAAAGGCCGGCCGGGCGAAACCGCGCGTCTCGGCCGCCCGACCGTGCCCGCGCGCCCGGCGGAACCGATCCGTCGAACCGAGTGTAATTTAATGACGTTTAATATGCAACGCGGCCGGCTCCATTATCCCGACCTTTGCCGCCGAATCTTCTTATCCGCTGGTCCGAGCTGATCTCTGGGTAAACGCAGATTAGCCGCCGCGCGAACGGGGAAAAGAGAAGGGCGCGAGCAAAAAGGATGAAGGAGATAGCTGCGATACCCGGCCTGCGATTTGCGAAATCGCCCACCCGCGGCGAAATTAAACGTCACCGGGCGCTGTAATTGCGACGTGGCGACAGTAGCTGCGCGTAAACCCGGCCAATTCATCTTCCCAACAGCTGTCGACTTCTCTTTTTTTTTTTCCAAATTTGGGCCGCAACATTCTAAGGCCGGCAGTCGAACGGCGTCGTTTATAAGGTGGTACGAAATTAGCGAGGGGTTAATCGTTTATGAAACTTTTCTCCTAACCAGGTATGCTGAATCGTTTCTGAAATTCCACCACATTAAAGATTGTCTGCAAGCAATTGCACAATTTTTTCTTATTAAAAATGAAATTTCATGGGTGTCAAGACCGTTCACATCTCCTCCGTATTCACGTTGAAAATGTTCAAATTATTCGGTACACCCAATTCGGAGAACATTCTCACGAACGATTGACCGTTCGGGTGCCACTTTAATATCGCCTTAACTCGCGATAAATGTTACCCTACAAAATTCACGCCAGTAAAACGGTCGCGTCGGGCCATTTAACCGGCGGTGCAATTGCACCTGCTCCAACGGCGGCCATTCGTTTTTCGGCGCACCCGCGTTAAGTGGCCCGGCAAAATGACACACTGTGGATCGCATCTTCACGCTTTTGCGGCACATAAATTAATTCCGCTAAAAGAGGGAGGGAGAGAGAGAAAAAAAAAGAGAGAAAAATAGCAGATCATGCTCGTGCAAATGTATGCAGGGGATATTTACCTGACAGTTACGCGGTACTTACCACTGCGGGACGAGCAGCGTTTAGGCCCGTTGCTCGTAAATTCTAATTATCCCTGCGGTAATCAATGAGGTCCTACGGCGGGAGAGAAAAAAAAAAAGAAAACAGAAAAATGGGAAATCGATGCTCGTACATGCAGTCGTTAAAAGTCGTGCTAAGTGAGGATAGAAACGGGCCCAAGGGAGAGCTACGACTAATTTTATATGCGAAGCAACAAACGAACCAACCTCCTCTGAAAGGCCTAGCAGAGAACGTTCGCGGACCTCCTGCAACATAAACACACGAACGATGATAAATTAATGGGGGAAGGAAATCAATCGAGCCCGGTATACGCCGAAAGCTCGTTAAAGCGCGACTAAATGACAGGTCATACACCGGAGGTGAAAGAAGGGAAGAGAGAGGCACATCCACCTGTCGCTCGTTGTCAGCGATAACTCCCTGACAACACTCAGCCAACGTCTGGACCGCATTAATTACCCATCCGAATAATTGTCCTCGATAATCAAATCCCCCCCTCCCCCCACAGATCCGCCAGCCCTTCCCCCACAAACCACGAAAAAAATGTATTTTTTAAATAAAACCAGACCCCATAAGCCCAGAAAACCAGACCCTGACGAGAGAAAGCGAAAAAGGAAAGGGTTAGACCTCGGAATATAATGGAAGCCATCCGCGGATCCTCCCCCCCAATTATTATCCCATCTCCCTCGACATTGCCTCCGCTTTCTCTCCCATTCCGCCCGGAGGGCCGATAATCTTTACGATTTAATTTCTCACGTTTCCGCTCCCCTCCCCCCACCCACTTCCCCAAGGAACTCTTTCCCAATACCCAGCGTCCGCAGCCTCCTCTAATCATGAGAATCAGATTTCCATCAGTGCTTTGATTTCCCCGCCGGAGCGACAGGTGCCGAGTATCTCTTTTCGCCGTGGAGGAAAGTTGTCGCCGAGGGTGGTCACCGGAAGTAGGGGGGGGGGGTCGGACCCTTCGACGTCGCTTTCGGGTCGGATCACTCGCGTGACCCGGCACTCGCGGCGTCCGCTCGAAAGGGAAGGAGAAAAAGAAGAACAAAGCGATAGAGGGAAAAAACAAAAGATCCAAAGGAGAGAGTCAGAGAGAGAGAGAGAGTCGGATCGAGCTGGGATCGCTAGATCCCACAGTCGGTGGGCCGGCGCGTCGTCCGTGCCGGGGCGCATCGATTCGGAGGGACTGCCGGCAGGTGCCTCCCCCTCCCACCCACCCGCCCCTAACCCTCTCTCTCTCGTGGGGGAGCGAGACAAACGGGCGGAGGAAGCGAAGAATATTGCGGACGAAGTAATATCCCCGGCTCGAGCGGGAGTACGAGAACGCGAACCGGGAGAGGAGGAGGAGGAGGAGGGGGAAGAGGAAAAGGGGGGAACTGGGAGGGGGGAGTGCGCGCGTAAGGACCGATCGGGGTCCGCGGAAAAACGGGCGACCCCGCGCCGGCTGCGGACGTAAAGGAACGGAGGCGTCGAAGCGAGGGGCGAATCGCGCCTCCAGCCGAGTGGAGGCATCGCCCCCCTCGCCCCCTCCCCTCCCACCGTCCCAACCCCCATACCGCCCCGCGGGCCCACTAATTCGAGCGGCGCCACGTGCCCGCGCATCAATGGGCCGGGTGGCACCCAAGAGGTGGGCGGGTTCCCGAACCAGCACGTACGCTCTCTCTCTCTCTATCCCTCCCTCTCTCTCTCTATATCCCCCGTTTTCTCGTTCTCGTCTCTTCCCCGCGTGCCGTACGGGGCTCGTCTCGAACCGCTCGAAGCCCACTCGGCTCGAGTGGCAAAGTTTTTCGATTTAGCCGCGGCCGGGAGTAAGCGGATACACCTCGGGTACGTGGAAGATAAGGGGCGAGGCCGAGGGGCCGGGTTAGCCGAGGACCCGGGTTAGGCGAGGCCCGAGAGAGCCAGGCCGGCCGAGGAGGCGCGGAACCACCGCGGCGCGGGCCGCGCGCGCGGAGACGGATATCGCTCGCCCCAGAGAGAGAGAGAGATAGGGGGACGGGCGGGGGGAGGGGGAGAAAGAGGAGGCCGACGACGGCATCCTCGCGTCCGCTGTCCTCGACCTCGTTTCTCTCTCTTCTCCGCGTAGCGCGTCGCACTCGTCACGCCCGGGAATAATTACCCGGCCGGACCCGGGCCAGGCGACGGCGCCGTCGTCGTCGTCGTCGCCGCGGCGGGCGCGATTAATCTTAATATTCGTTAGGGCATAATCTTAAATTAAATCGCCATTGATCCGCGGGACGCGCGGCCTCGCGACCCCTGCCCCCGGGCGGCCTGGATACGGAGGAAATCAATTTCGAAGGGGGGAGGGGGGGTCGAGGAGGTGGGGGAGGGCGGCCAATTATCAATTTACGATATCGTAAATAATAGGTGGCGGCGGTGGTCCCGCGAGGATGAAAAGCTCAAAGTGCCGAGAGTTAACCGAGAGGCATCCCGATACGCTCCTCGGCCCCTCCCCCCCCCCTGCCCAATACCCCCCCCCGACACATCCCGCCTCTCGCAAATTGCCTTCGAACGGCCGGGGATGCCCGTGCCTCGAGAGGCTTAATTGCCCGATGCCAATTTAACGATCGAAAACCGAAATTGCGAGCGGCGAATTAAGGGGCCTGCGTGAACGGCGCGCGAACGGCCCCGGACGGCCTCGCCGCCCCGGCCGGATCTTTGAGGGCCCGATGATGACATAACGAAACGAGATTCTCCGGAGCGCGGGAAAACGCGGGCTTGGGTGGAAGGCGATTTTTTGGGACTGATGATCGGCGGACCCGGGGACCATGCAAGCCTCGCAAGTGTCGGGGCACGAGTGGATCTGACCCGGGTGGCGGGATCTGTTTAACTGTCGGAACGAAGACATTTATCTTTTCGGGCGAAATTGATTGGTTTCCTTCTGTCAGGATCGAGGAACGCGGCCGCGGTATGCAGAATCATTGAGGGCTCGACGATGACCGAATAAAACGCGATTCTGTACAGTGCGGGAACGCGTGCCGAGGTGGAGTCGATTTTCTGTTGATCGATGGATCGACTCGTGGCCTTGCACCTGCTATGGTACGAGCGGGCCTCGTACGAATATCAGAATCCATTCGAGAATTAACCGCGGTCGCGGCGTATCTTTGGGGGCCCGATGACCCAATGAAATGCGATTCCGCAGAGTGCGTTCCAGGGTGGAGTCGATTTTTTTTGTCGGTCGGTGGACCGACCCGCGGACGAATCGAGCCTTGCACCTGCTATGGTACGAGCGGCCCTCGTACGAATATCAGAATCTATTCGAGAATTAACCGCGGTCGCGGCGTATCTTTGGGGGCCCGATGACCCAATGAAACGCGATTCCACAAAGTGCGTTCGAAGGTGGAGTTGATTTTTTTTTTAGGTCGATGGACCGACCCGCGGACGAATCGAGCCTCGCCGCGTACTATGGAACGAGCGGGCCTCGTACGGATATCAGAATCTATTCGAGAATTAACCGCGGTCGCGGCGTATCTTTGGGGGCCCGATGACCCAATGAAATGCGATTCCACAAAGTGCGTTCGAGGGTGGAGTTGATTTTTTTTTTAGGTCGATGGACCGACCCGCGGACGAATCGAGCCTCGCCGCGTACTATGGAACGAGCAGGCCTCGTACGAATATCAGAATCTATTCGAGAATTAACCGCGGTCGCGGCGTATCTTTGGGGGCCCGATGACCCAATAAAATGCGATTCCGCAGAGTGCGTTCCAGGGTGGAGTCGATTTTTTTTGTCGGTCGGTGGACCGACCCGCGGACGGATCGAGCCTCGGCGCGTGCTATGCTACGAGCGGGCCTCGTACGAATTTCAGAATCTATTCGAGAATTAACCGCGGTCGCGGCGTATCTTTGGGGTCCCGATGACCCAATGAAACGCGATTCCGCAGAGTGCGTTCGAGGGTGGAGTCGATTTTTTTTTTTGTAGGTCGATGGACCGACCCGCGGACGAATCGAGCCTCGCCGCGTGCTAGGACACGAGTGGGCCTCGCGCGAGTGGCGGGATCTACTCGAGGTTCGCGGCCGCGCTCGAGCGATGGCCTAACGAAATGAAATTTTCGAAAACCGGGAAACACGTTGCTCCGAAATGCAAGGGTTCTCCAGGAGGGAATTTGATTCGGGCTGAGTTGATTTTCAATAGTTCGCCGGCAACCGGATTAACGAGGTGCGCTCGACGCGCGAGTAGCGAGTAGCGAGGGGGGCCCGAACTTTTATATAAAACGGGCTGAATGTATCCCGGGAATGGGATGTAACTTTTCGGCATCCGATTTTTTTACCAGCCCACCGGCCGGAATGGCGTAATTAAGAATTGGATTTGCGCGGAAATGGGCCCGAACAGAGGAGAGGCTTCTGCCGGACGAAACGGGATCCCCGCAATCTGAGACCGAGATACCGAGGGTATCGGGAAACCCGATAGAGTTTCGCGCCAAGTATTAACACGGGATATACGTCCGTCACGCCCTTATTTATCTTCCCCGTTTCGGGGCGAAAGCATCATTCCGTGAATGTCTAAACACAGGGGCTTCAGCGGAAGTAAAGTCGGCCCATCCGTACAAAACCTCGGCGACCTCTCATCGAATTTTATTTTTTTCCTTTCCGCGAGTCAATACCAGAGTTGTTGACGCAACGTACTAAATTCGAGACTGAGACCGATGGAATGGTTCTATTTACCCTAGGACAAACAATAAACAAAAGATATTCGACGCGTGGCTGCCGAGCGCGTTCAGAAGTGAAACTTTTAAATTATGGAGACAATGCACCCAGGGAATGACGCACCAACGTTTGCGCAAACTGTGCCACCGAAGTACAAATAGATGAATGTAAATAGTAATTTGCTGGAAAGAAGGAGTAAAACAAAAATGCTAAAAGAAGGGGGGAAAGAAAAAAAAAAGGCGTTTCACTTTCCGAGTCGGGCTCCCTTTCGTGACACGCGAACTGGTACCTATACCCTGTCCTTCCATAAGAAGTTTCATCTGGCGAAAACGGTAGGAAAGGTCCCCTCGGTGGCGGCGCGACCTAATACGCGTCATTGTTAATAATTCGGCGGGCGTATGATTAAATTTAGGGGGGCGCCCAAGTAGTGCCGGGGCATTCGGGAAGACGGATGGGGACTTCCGAGGCCGCGTGGCCCGATTGTTAATAATTCGGTGGCCGGGTGGAAGGGGGTGGGGGTGGGTGGGTGGAAGGGTTACGAACTCGGTCGCCCCGGCCCACCTTGGGTTCGTTTCGGGCGATATCGACCGACCCTGACGCGATTCCAGACGATCGCGTGTCGCGTGTCGCGCGTGTCGAGCATCCGCCGAGGGTATCGGGAGTTTTTCGAGGGGGTGGGGCCGGAGGGAGCGATTTCGGGGGGGCTTCCGGTCCGCGTTCGCCAGTCGCTGCCCTCCTATGTCAACAATATATACATATATATAAATTTGTTTCAGTCAACTAATCGCTTTCCTTATTGTATCCCGAATGGTCGTCTTGTAACTACAGTCAGGTTTTGGTCTCGTTCCTGGTCCTTGGTCGTCCATACCAGAGTCTTGGTACCACTTGCACCAGTTGCGATTAATCGATCTGCGATCAATGAATTCCGAGTTGCACCGGTAAGAAATTAAGCGAAGACTCGAGTCTTGTTCCGGGTCGGAGATTCTGTAAGACCAAGACCAAGACAGGAAGACCAAGGCCGATTTTGCTCATCACTAGAGGGCGAGCGGAAAGTCAGCGGCGAACCCCTCCGGGCGGTTCCCGGCCCCGGTCCAAAGTCTCATTGTGCGGCCGAGACGCCGCGTCGGCGTAACTCCGCGATTTCTCCTAATTAGGAGTCTACTCGAAGTCCCGGCCCGCCGCGGCCGCGGCGAACGAGCGCGCGCGGGAGAAGGCCGCAGGAGAAAGACCGAGCCCTATCCACTTATCGACGAGCCCGACAACCGGCGTACCCGCCGCGACCCGACCGCGCGCGCGCGCCACCTGCCGACCGAGTCGCACTGCCACTCGACTCGGCTGGCGTTCTTTAATTAACGCGAAAATACCCGACCTCGAGGTCGGGTCCAAAGCGCTCCAACGTGTGTCGGACGCGTCGCGATTCAACCCGCTGCAAACGGCCGTTCCGTGCGATCTCATCCGTCCACGACGATGTCCTACTTGACCTGGGGTATAGACATCCGTGAATCCCATCCACGTTGCAAGATACCACAAAAGCAATTTCAGCGTCACGTGTGCAAACTGCCCCCTCGTGCATGGGGTCTTAGATGCCGATTAGGAGGGAGTCCCTCAGGGAAGGGGTCTCCCCAGGGAGGAATCCCGAACCGCGCCCCAAAGAACAGGAAGACTGGATGCCTACGTCCGTGGATTTGATGCCAGAATTGGGATTTAAGATGGGTACTACCTAGACGGGATGTTGGATAGGATACTTTGTGGTCGTTGCGGTGCCGTACACGCGGTACATTGTTCTACATGGTCAGACGCACTTTAGTAGTTTTCGCAAATCGCGACGCGCGGGTAAAACTCTGCGAGGGGGCACTGGGTCGAAACCATGGACCTAGAGTATACGAACCTGCCGATCCGACTGGAAAGAAACGTACATACAGAGTCCAACCACCAGGAACTCCGTCTTGTCGCCTCCCTTTAATTTCGAAAAACAGCTGCGCGGCGCAATATGGCGACAAGCTATTGGACAGGAAGACTGGGAGATTGCAAGAGAGAGAGAGAGAAAATATCGTCCCACGTTCGTCCTCCGTTATTATCACCATCTCCACGGAAATGCCAAGCATTGATTTCACCATATCATTGGAGTAAAAGATCTTTAACAAATTCCTACATAACGCACAATTAGCCCTGATCGTCCGATTTAGGGTGGCAACCCACCGGGAGACTTTTCTGTTCGATCACCGCGCCCTTTTTTATCTGGGAAACCGGAGTTTAGCTAATCCGAGATTAACTATCCGGAGTTAAGATCGTCGCGCTAATCACGCGGTCCCGTGGAATCGATCGGGTGTTCCGGGTCCATACCCAGGTCCATGGGTCACCCGGGAGCGGTCAAGGCTGGACGTGCCGGCCGCGGCGACAGGTGCGGGAGAACCGGAAGCGAAGGAGATGGAAGAGGAATCGGGACTAACCTTGAGCGTGTGCGGCCGCGGCGCCGAACAGGGCGAGCAGAAGCGCCGCCACCGGTCGGCACCTCATCCTTCCTGCGTCGGCCGCGTGCTGTCCGCCGCGGTCCGCCCGCCGGCGGCACGGCCTCGCGGCCTCGCCCTCGGCCGACGCCTCCGTAGGGCCTGCCGCGCTGCTCCGGTCTCCGCTGGAAGTGTCACACACGCGGTCACTGGTTGGTCTGTCGGGGGTGCGCTGGCGACTCGGGCGGGCGGGAAACCGGGCGGGAGAAGTGGGCGGGAAACCGGGGGGGCAATACCGAAGGCGCGACCGCGGCGCCGCGCCCTCGCGGCCGGGTCTTGGAAAAACGGAGCAACTCCGAAACGTTTCGATTTCAGAGGGTTTCCCGGCTTTCCCGTCGCGTTCTATTGCGTTTTATTGCGCCCCCACTAGCGGGGCGCGATCGCTTTGTGTCAGCGCTTTGATCCTTTTGATCTCTCCGCATTACTGGCCGGATTACCGGCGCGAGGAAAAATTGCACCGGCGCCGGGTTGATTTATCTTCCGAGCGATTCGCTCCAAGTTTCTCGTGAATTATTCACCCAGAGCGGGCGTAATGATTTATAGGAGCGAAACGCCCGGCGCTCGATTGAACGCCGTTCCGCGGGCCTCCGCCGGCCGATCTCGGCTTTTGACTTCCCATCGGCAGCCTCGCTCGAATTAATTGCCCCCGCGCGTTATGGAACCGTCAAAAATCTCGCGAAACGTCGACCAAGCGGAACGACCGGTCGCGTCATCGCCGCGGTATATATTCCGCCCGGCGTTATAAGCCGGAACATTCGGGCAGGAAATATTGCGAGCGGATCGCGCCCGCGGAACGTCACGGTATATCGGCATTAAGCCGGAGCGCGGACCCGTGTCGCATTGATGGCCAAGTTTCGGGTTGTGTTTTCCAACTTTTATTCCGAAACTTGTGATATTTCCGCGCGACCGATTTTTAGGGGGGTGGACGGGGGTTTCCGCTAGCCACGCCGAGCAGGGCCCGCCGGGCGGGCGGCGAGCGTCCGGCGCGGGCCGGGAACGCCCGGGCGGACCACCGGGCCCGTTTTCCGCCCGCCCGGCCCCCTATCGACCGCGCGTCTTCGCGGGGCACGTACCGTGCGGCTCGACCGCGGCCGCGCGCGGGGCCCGCTCGGCCACCGAGCCTCGGAGCCGGTCCTCTGGGCCTTTGCCGCCGTCCCGCGGGGGAACGGAGCCTCGAGAACTGCGCGCGGAGCCTGGCTCGCTCCTCCGAGAAACCCGCACGCTCGCGTTGATGGCGGCCTCGTCACTGGCCGCCCCCGAGCCGCGCGCTCGACCTGCGCGCCGCCGCGAGACCGAGCCGCCGCGCGGACATCGGCGCGCAGGCGCGCCCCGCCGCTCGCCCGGCGCGGCCAGGCGCGGCTCTGCCGGCCCGACCGACCGCGCGCGGCGCGACCCGACCCGACCACCCTCGCGGGCCCTCCGGCACCCTCGGGCACCCGCCCATCGAGATCCTCTTCCTCGAGACACCCTCTCGGAGACGGCGCTCGCCTACGGGGACACTCGGACACCTCTCGAGGCCGCGCGCGCTCTCCTCTCCCCAGCGCCCGTGTGAACTCGCCGCGGGGCCGGGAGGGCCAGCGCGAGTCGCAGTCATCCGACGCGAGTACCCGCTCGGGAGAGTCTCGCCCGTCGCCCCCCGCCGCGCCGAGGGGGTGGACGACCGAGACTTCCGCCCCGACGTTCTCCCTCGTTGGGAATTCGTCATCCCCCGCGGTGGCCGACCCTCCGGTTTCGACCGACTCGCCCGATAACCCGTCACCTGGAAATTATGAATCCCGGTTAGCGGTCCCGCCTCGATGGGTGCGTAATTAGAAAATGAGAAATAATTGTAAGAACCTCGGGGAGAGGTGTCTCCACCTCCGAGATGAAATTCTAGGAGGAAGGAGGTGGATGCGAGGCTCGGAAGATTAAGGTCGAGATCGAGGTCGAAATTGAGATCGGGGCTGCGATCGAGGCGAAGAGGGATTTACATTTACATTTTATCGGACCCGGGGAATATTAATGCCCGGCTCGAGAGGTTAAAAAATCAAGAACGCCGCCGCCGTTGTCCTCCTTCGCCGGAGGTCGGCTCTCGCCAGGGAAAATACCCCGAGATCCCGCAGGGACGCAGAATAAACGTTGATTAAGACGTCCGCTTGAAATCTCCCGCCTTCTGCCTCGTCCTCCTCCATTACTTTCTTTCTCCTCCGTAATAAAAACCCCCGGGTACATATTGTTATGACAATTTGTCCGGAGATCAGCGTTAAACCACCTTCAAGCGTGATTTAAGCCGCGACAAGTCGGAAACAAGGCGAGAGAAAGAACGCGGCAAAAGGGGGAATCCCTTTACAAGCGAAACAAATCTAAAGCCCCCTTCTATACCCCCCGCCCCTCCAGGGCTGGATATCCGCTACAGTGGGCGAATTTATCAATGAATCCAACCGTGATTGGCACCTCGCCAACTCGGCGTCGACACGGGTTTCGTCCCTCTCGTCGATCTCGGCTTAAGATCGATCGCGACCTCGCGCACCTCTCATCTCCTCGATATTGCCGAGACCGAATGCCTCCTCCCTCCCCATTTTTACCCGAGCCGTGACTTTCCATCGGTCCATATGGTTTGAATTTCCCCGGACACCTGGTCGCGTCCTTCGTAGGGACTTCTTTGCCTCTTACTTCCGGTGTCATGGTCGCGACATCCGGAACTCCCACCTCGGATCAAGGCTTCGAGACCAACTGACCCCTTCAGCCTGCAATTTCCGCATGACTCATTAATTATCATTCCCGAGGATTCTTCTCCCTATTTCACGAGAGCAATCGCGCATCTTGATGCTAGAAATGATGCATTTCCAAATTAATTTAAGATTCATTTTTTTTAACTGACAATTTTTTATTTACACCGGCTGAAACCGTCTCCAATGACGATCCGCTGCGTTGAGTGTCCCTCATTTTTCTACGATCTTATAAAAAGTAATCATTTACTTAAACATCATCTAAACCCCCACGAATTGCCGCCCTCATATTTATGTCTCACTTAGATTCTGATCATGCTCGGCATTAAACTAAAAGATATGAAACCAAACGTCAAGTTGAACGAAGGCGATCGGACCCCCGGGGTTTTCAGCGACATTTATCGTTAATATATGTCATTCTTTCCAGAGATTAGCACATGTCCCGTCCCTGTTTTAATTACTTCCAATCATCTCCCTCTACTCCTATCTAATTTACATGCGACCTGGGGAGGCGTGCAGCTTGCGTTATGCATTCGTGTTCCCGGCAAGTTCATGTGCAGCTGCGCTCTTGGGCAAACGAAAACAGTCTCGGGCCCTCTGCAGAGAGTAAGTACTGCGCCGGGTTCCTAGAAGGAAGCGACAAATCATTATTAATTCGAGCCAGGACGGACGTCGGCGGAGCGATCGAGTGACGCTTCGGCGGGGTCCGATAGCGCCCCTGAGGTGGCCCGGTAATTTAGGTGGCACTGGTTCATAGCCAATAGCCAATTCCCATTTGGCCCTGTCCCAAGGGGGTAGCGAGTCGTTCGACTCGCCGCGAAGCTGCGCCCCCGCCGGTGCGCTCCGCACACACCGCCGGGTGACGAGCCCGGTGACTCATCCCACGCGTGCATAACCCCCGTGCATGCGTGCGTGTCGGGAAGTCGTGACTTCGCGTCTGGTCCGACACGCGTGCGAGCGTTCCCACATTGAGTCACGCCGAGGAGGGCGACGCGTGCCGCGCCCGTCGAGTGGCGACTCGTTAAATTTGTCAAAGGAGGTGCGTCACCCTCGCGTATCGGAGGTAAACCCGATTACTTACCGCGCTCGGACGCGCCATGCAAGTGCCTTTTTTACCGTGTTTCCCCGCACGAGCGTACACCCTTGATTAGACAACTGGAATATGCAGTTATCATCCGCTTCCGTGTCCCGCTCGTCCGCGCGCCCGCTTAAGGGGGAAATCCATCCAGACCCGCGAAATAAAGTGACTTTTTGCCAATTTTTCAAGTGGACCTTTTTATGCCCCGGGACGGGTGTACGTTCGCACGGAATGGAAGAAACCCGTCTCGGAAAGCGACGCTCTTTCTTGCGGATCCTTCCCCTTCTTCTATTCAAAGCGAATTAGCATTTACGTTCGTTAATTACTGTTCACATTTAAGCGTTAATAGAATCTGAGTAAATGCTTCCGTTGGGGTCGTATAATTTAGATTTGTTGTCCAAGGATCGCCCTTCACGAGCGAACCTACGTGGGGAGAGAAATTTATTTAACAAGTTTTATTGCCCAAGGGAAACAGTTTTCTGAAAATCGACATTTTTCCTTAGACACCTCGGTGGTGTTTTCCATTCTCCATGCTGTTTCTTCTATTTCGAGGCGAGTCGGCTGCGTAATTATATCTAAATTAACAAACTTGGATTCTCTTCTTTATATTAAGTGCAGCGACGCTGGAGCCCGCGTCCGTTTTCAACTCCGTTAACGTCGCCGTGACAGGATCCGTTGCTTACTCGATGAGCCACCATTTTGTTATTGGATCAGATTTTGTACTTCTTGAAACGAGGGCAAATATCAGTTAAAATGGTCTGAAAAATCGATCGTATAATTCCCTTTACAAGATATTGTCAAGAGTTCATTTTATTTTCACCGTATCCGCAAGGTATCTGTACGATGTCGGGGCGCTGACGGAAATAACAGATTTATATGGTTATTATTCATACATTTTCGTGTAAGTCTCGTACTAACACGAGGACGGAAACTCACCGACACGACCCAGCACGAATACGTTCGAGCCAGCCTTTAAGCGATTCCGATTGTTTGCCGGGGAGGGAAACGGCGCGTCCCCTTCTTGTCCGCTCGACTATTCACTTTCGGTCAGACACAGGTGTAATGCGCCCGCTCTCGAATCCCTCGTATCGAATGAATTATTCCCCAGCCCCCCACAGTCGGGTAAAAACGCGATCGCGCTTCGACTTTCCGAGCTATTCCGTGAGCGCGCCCACTTTGGGGCCACTCGAGGCCGTCTCGCTCGGAACGCTTAAAGCGCTTCGT